ACTTTCACTTCTCTCAGCTTCGCGAAGTCCTTCTTTTCCTCGCGCGTCTCGTTCTGTCGCCGTGCGGACTTCCACCGCGGCGGGGCCGCCTCGGGAAAAGCCGTGTTTATATTCATATATATGTCGTATACGTATAGCATACGTGTAATCGCGTACGAGGATCATTACGAGGCGGCGATTTTATATAGCAGTACATAAGGAGACCGCTGCGCCGATAGCAGAACGATTTCCTGGTGACGCCGTTCCGACGGCGGCGGCGGCGACGGTTCCGGCCGTGGATTGCCCCGCGGGTGCCACTCGGTTGCGTAAACGAACGATGAATATTAGACACTACCTAATAAATTACGACCCGCCCGGAGTTCCGGATTTTAAAGACCGTTGCAGCGTTGCGGTGAAATAGTCGCCTCGCGCACAGGTGCAGCGACGAAGTCTCCGGTTAATTTTTCGCAACGTCTTTTCGTCGCAGCTGCGATATCACCTCACACGTTCTCCGCGCGAAAGAAATTATTATACAAATAGTATTTTATGCAATGTGACTTGCGTAAAAATTCTTGCGAGAGACGATTTGACTCTTTAGTGAAACGATTGCACGTAATTTTTTTATCACACAGTTGCGGAGCGTACGCATACAATTGCGTTCGCGATTCCGCATCGTTCGATATGATTCGTGCCGACATTCTACCCGCACCCTTTCGCATGAAAATTATTTCAATCTCTTTTTTCTTTCGCTCTTACAAAAAAAGACATCGAAAACCGCAGTTTCTTATGGAACTGCAGCCGCCAGGCGTTAAAAAAGTTTTGCAATTTTTCATTACAATGGGCCTTGGTACTCCTCATTTATTTTCCATTATCGTGCTTGCCTTTAAAACTCTGTTTGTAGTTCGATATTAAGGAAAGGGCCTTACAAGGAGTTTGTAAGACTTGAAGAAAATCAGTGAAGAATAAAATTATAGAAAAAAAGGATAAACACGAAATTGAAAAATTTAAATACATTTCGATGTATTCTAAATATTGCTTCAAAATTCGTCGATAATGTACACAATACAAATTACGCACCGACTTTGTAATATTGATTAGACACAACGGAAAATGTGTCTCGTATACAATATGAGACATGGCGTGTGGCCGTGCAATTAGCAATCGACGCAACGTGAAACGTGAGATGGTCGTGCAATTAGCGATCAGAGATTTCAGCGAAACGCGAATCCAGCCCGCTACCCGTTGGATACATATTTAACAGCCGTAAAAGGCCTGCAACTGTGTGCACTTCGTCTCACTTTAGCAATCGCGACGCATCATTTGAGAATTTCTAGGTCGGCACGCGTCTAATGCGAGGCGTACTAGCTTGACATTTAGTGCCTTGTACACGCCGGGTGCAACTTTCTTGTGTGCGTCCGCATCGCGGTGCGTTGTTCGCCAAAGGCGCGCACTCCTATAGAGCGTATTATTTGCGGACGATACTTACGCCGCACACACTGCAACGAACTAGAATGTCGCTAGCCGCAGATACCTGAGTTGCATTATATTTTGCAGGCAATTCCACTTCCCCACCGTCAAATGTCAGCGACGCGATGGAAAATTGCGTTACTGTGTGAATTATTCTTTATGTAACGAGATATGTACACACAAGGTAGTTGAGAGGTTGTATCAAGAAAAATTCACCAGCTTCTCGTCCGTGTAAAAATTAACGCGAGCATATAGATAGTATCCGGCATTTTACAAATTGCCGTCATTAAATTAGATCGGTCAGTAAATATATATCACAGAAATTTATTAACGATATATTCGGGATATTATATCGACACAACGAACGACTGAAAAGTACCTGCAAAAGTACCTGAAAGAATCCTACACTGAATATTCATGACTTCTCACCGCATTCCTCGAAACGGAATCGTCCCAAACCGGAGATTGGATCAATAAGAGCGGTTGAAAGTGAGATTTTGGATCACCCCGCGGGCAAGGACAGCGACCTCGCGGCCACTCTCAAGGTCGCGAGTGAAGGATTTCGAGGTCAACCGCCGTGTCGACGACTGCCAAAAGGGAAGAGAGAGAGAGAGAGAGAGAACGCGGGATCGGGATCTCTGCGTTGAAATTGATTTCCCTGACGTCAGTCACCGCTTACGCGTCCTTCTGCATCCGCGCGGTCGAGGACGTTCGTGTATCCCGCTCGAATCCTACCTCTTTCCTCCGTTCCGGCATTTCCCGGCGACCTTCAAGCAACCGAATACATACTTTGGCTGGCCGATTCCTTCAATGCCGCCAGGAAGACAACATTGCCTTACCTTACCCCCACCTGTAATGCGCAATTATATATATATGCGCGTGTATATAAATTGCATCCGTGTCTCTGTCTATGCAATTTTGTAATGAAACGCGCCTCGCAGTTTAAATAATGAACGTCCTCCGTACAAGAAGCTTTCGTACATATGTGAAGCAGGAGTTACGTATACAGAGGGATTTAGTAAACGGACGTACTTTCCTGCAAGAAGAAACTAAATTGCACGGGGAGTTAAGCGAATAGTTATCATACGTTTTTAGTCTCGTAAAACTCGTAAGTGCATTAACTCACACGCTACACCGCATAAAACTCGTCGCCATTATGTGCCGGGGTATCGTCGAATTAACCGGGCGGCGAGGAGGAGAGGGAGCAATTAATTCCGTCCGTGTATTCGCGCGCGGTTGTGCGCGCGCGCACGCTTAATTAGTCGCATTCTCGGGAAATCAATCTCGCATTCTCGAGCTCTCTTTCCCAGCAACGATCGTGGAACGATCTCCCCATTTTTCCCATCCCCACGGTTACCTAATTTTAATCGCCGTTACGATAATAAACGCGCCCGGCAAATTCGTTATATTGCTCGTCATTAAAGCGCGTGTGTACCGAGCGGAGTATACTATACCCGGTGATGATTGCACAACGGTCTTGTATACATATATACACGTATGGGAAGCAGCGTGCATTCGCGAAACGGCTTACTGAGTTTACTTGGTCGCGCGCGGCGGACATGCCCGCGGGAGCACCCACGCGTGGCCCGCGCGCTCACGCACGCGCTCGCAATCCGCACGCGTCGCGTTCGCGTCACGGTGGCTTCTGTGGAAAGCGAAAATCTGTCGGGCAATAACGGGTAATAGCGCTTTTGTCCCGCGTTCGCGTTCGCGTGACTAAAAATCCAGCGGTCCGGTTCGAACGGCGCGGCGCGGCGACGTCGGAGACATTGGAAAACGCGGACGTGTGCGCGCATCTTCGAGCTGTTTCACCTCGCTTTCACGACGCGCCATCCTCCGATCTCCTTCCTTCTCCTCCCCGATCAGCTCGTTGATAATTTTCGCTTCTCGTTCCCCTTTTGCCTTCTTTTATTTTTTTTTCGGCCTCGTTTTCCACCGATGATTGGAGAAATTTGAATGCGCGAACGCGCTTCCGACAACGCCGGTATATCCATTCTTCGGCCACGATTGCACGTTTTCTCATTAAGTCGCAATTATCTCGGTTTCCAGGGGCGCTTATTAATCAACCCGGCTCTATAATCAGAGGGAAAACCTCGTCGTGAAAGAGCCCCGGCTGGAACTTCCTCTTGCGAGAGAGGCTCGGATTGCGAAATCCGGGCGAGATGAGAGAAGCGCGCGCGCGCGCATCTCCTCCTCGCGCGTTTTTCCTCGTGCGTATCCTTTGCGTGTGCCTACGTTGCGTTCGGGAAAATTAATGCCTCCGCATTGTTGCGGCTTCTCCACGCGCGACGCGATTTTCCACATCTTGCCGCGTTCCCCGCCTTATATCCTCCTCGCCGATATCCTCCTCCGAGGCTGTCGTAAGAGCGTTTCTCCAAGCAAGCAGTTAAATCTTTGCGGAGCGGTCCGCGGTAAACACGTTTCGAACTGTTGTATGCAAAACACTGCAGTCGTGTGCGTGTGCGAGCAAGGCACACAAGGTCGACCAAAAATCCGGCTACTTTTCCGTTGCACAATCCGCCGCTGCATTTATCGCGCTCGCGTTTCAACATGCGGAATATACGCGACAAGCGGTACGCGATGATATACGGCAGGCAATCATGTCATGCTCGTTCGAAGTTGAAAATGTTTACGACATATTTCACGGCCCGACTACGTATATATACTCGCCCCCTACGTATACGTCACATCGGAATAAATAGATTGTAATCATAATTCACACGAGCGCGCAGCGTTGACGCACGCTTTGTCCGCATAATTAATGAATCTGCATTTAAATCAAGCTCTAAGGTGAAATTATTATATCGGCTAATGCATAACGCTTTTAATTCTTAAAGAGGGTATGTAGGATCGAGTTAGATCGAGCACGAGTTAAATAGGTATGGCAATACTGTTTGGATAAGCATATTTACTTAAAGCTTGAGCTTTATTAATTAATTATTAACTATCAATTTTTTAAAATAATATATTTAAAAAAATTATTGGAGGTTTATTGGAAGCTAAAATGCATTATTGTAAAATACAGAAACAAATGGATTTTATTAAAAATCTCTTATACGCTCTTTAAATCTTTTGTACGAAGTTACAAAGGTTTATCTTTCACGGTTATCCGATAGCCAGAATAATCCTCGCCGCGGTCTTGTAACAATCGTTGCTGGTTTTATACATCCGTACGAGGCCTATTAATCCGTACCGTATTCCTGACTTTCTTTGTTTTACGATTTCGCAACGTGTATAAAAATTTTATTTCGCAATTCCGCGGAGATCTAGGATCGGATAGGCCATATGCAAGAGGCCATACGAGCTACGATAGGATCAGACGCATGTCCGATTCGGATATGTATTGTATAATCGGATAAAGACCCGCGGGGTATTTAAGACGCGAATTTTTGATCTGGCGATAATTCAATTGCGATTTCCGAGAAAGGAAGGAGATCCCTGGTTGGCCTTTAGCCGCACTATAATAACGTCAAATTAATCAAGTACGTGCCGACGTGAAAGGTTGAGTAACGTTTCAGATTTTCAACCGTTGTTTTGTTTCCTTTTGTTTCCAGGATGCCAACGGAACACTCCGAGAAGCGCGAGAGCCAGCAGAAATGAGGCGGTCCTGGAATTCGAGTGCCCCGAAGAATTTGGATACTACGCTCATCCGCGTGACTGCACGCAGTATTATGTGTGCGTTTTCGGCGGTGCCCTGCTGGAGTCCTGCACGGGAGGCCTTATGTACAGGTACGCGAGACGTATGAATATGTTGAGGGAAAGAAAAAACAGAAAAGGGAAAATCAAGATCGCTACGGAAAAACTACTATGACGGTTCACATTTCGGAAAGAATTAACATTTAGCGTGGAGAAATCGAACGCGCGTCTGGTTTTTGTTCCGCTCCGATTTGCGAAAGGAAATCTTATGGAAAATTTACTGATTCTCTCGAAAAAAAAACGCCGCTTGCCGATATCTCGCCGCGAAATACTGCCGCGTCGACGTTTACCGTGTTTAGCATTGGGGATCATAAATAAAAAATTGCGCGTGTAAGCGTTTCGCGAGTTCTGAGATTACGTGCGAGATAATGCGGGAGATCTGATCGACGGTTGGAAGAATTCTTCTGCTCGTTACAGGAGTTTCTGCCGGCATAATCTGTGCGCGCGGGGGGTCGACGACCGCGTTCGCGATCACCATCGCGGAGCGGCGCGGGCGGACTCTCGGAGTGAAAAAAAGAGGAGTGAGAGAAGAGGGGGGAGAGAGAAAGACTCCACCGTGGAAACGATTCCGCGCGGTCTGACGACCGATCGGCTAATATGGATCGCGGATTTGAGCGGCGAGGTGAAATTAGGCGAACAGCGCGCGATAATGGATGCGCCGAATCGGGCGTTATACGCGTGTGCAATTGTCGGGCCGGATGCGCGCGCGACCCGTCCCGCGCTCCCAGCCGTTGCACATTACGAGATTCGTGAGAGATCTCGCGTTGCCGCGCATCGCGCGAACGAAATCGCGACTTTCCCGCGCGCGAGCGCGGATCGAAAAATTCGACGCGCCGCGAAAAAATATCCTCGGGGTACCTATGTCCTCTAAACCTATAAGAAGTGGACTTTGAATGATATAGAGCGAAGTGTTTATCGAACGATCCTGTAAGACTAGATACAATGCGATCACGTGTCTCGACACGTTACAGGAATACGAGCGTCATTTCAACTGGCTGGTATTCCTCGGGGGTATCCCCTAAGAATGGAATTTAAATGACAGAGCGAAGCGTTTATCTAACCGTGAGTTAGATACAACGCGATCACGTGTCTCGACACGTATAAGAATACGAACGTCATCTCGATCAGCTCCTATTGCTTGGAGTATCCTCTATGCCGCGATCTACAATAGGTGTAGTAAGCCTTAAGCCGTAAGAAATTGACCAAGCACTGTCCATTATTCTCCTCACGTTCGACTGTGATTGGTCAATTTCTGCGGCTTAAAGCTTACTACACCTATATTGTAGGTCACCTATTGCGGAGGAACTAAGAATGGAGTTTAAATGATAGAGAGCGAAGTGTTTATCAAACCGTGAGCTAGATAAAATCCGATTATATCTCGATGCGTAAGAATATACGGACGTCATCTCTTCGTTCAGCTCCTTACGTCTCGCGCTTTGTTAACCGAACATCGGCGAGCCCGATGGATTACTTTCGATCCGCCGTCTCTGGATTTGCGCGGTAAAAGGGGGTCGTACGCGTAACCCTGGAGAAAAGGAAAAAAAATCGATCAGCCACACCTCGCCCGATACGATACCGAGCGCGAACGGGTTATTCGCCGCGCCGCCGAAGCCGGTTGATACACAGCCCAAGGTGCTTAATGGTAACGCAATACCCAAGTACGGGTGAGATCGAGACGGTGGTTTCCAGGAGCGCGACGCGCCAAACGCGGCTCTCGCTTGACAGACGGGTCTGTACCCGGAATTCTTGGGAAACCTTCGAGTCCTCCAATCGTATTATATACGAATCGTATTGGACATCTTACCACTTAATTACGATCTCGTCGCGTTGCACGTGCATGATGGAAAGCCTGACGGGGTGATCGAATCGAGGAGTTATTAGATTCTCAGAAATGTCTTGATAATTCTTAGATGTCATAAGGCTATTTAAACATCATTTATATTACAGGCGACCCCGCAACAATAATTTTCATTAATTCGAAAATAAAAGCTTTGCACTTTACGTCGTATATATATGTATGCCGTAAGTACATTTACTTACGGCGAGTGAATGAGTCTTAATTAGCGTGACGCGTAAGTAGCGGAAGGGAACCGTGTAGGATAATTTTCGCGTAACCGAGGGAAAAATGTCGTGAGCTGTGTATAAAGGAGCGTAATGTAAAATAAGCGAAATTGCAAATGATACGTCGTGTGCAAATGTAATTTTAATAACACACGGGCGCGAGAAGTCGCGTGATTATACTCGGTAAGGCCGCGCTCGTAAGTATAGCTAATGAACGTTATAACGATATACTGAGAAATCCGAATCACCTTGCCTTCTTGTTTCCTCCTCAGCCACGACTTGCAGACGTGCGACTGGCCGCGAAACGTAGGCTGCCCGGAAGGTTCGCACCACAAGGAGGCCGAGGATGAGGATCCCCTGCTGGAGAGGTGAGTTTATTTCGACTGTCTCATCCGACGGGAAGATACCTTGGACGATATCCGCGGCGTAATTTTCGATCGTGCATGTCGATAATTATAAACTCGCGTTAACGCAATCTATTTTGCCACGTGTAAGACTGTCTTTGGAAATCTACTGGCATTAATTTTGCGTTTCCTCGCTGCATGCACGTACATGCTCGTGTCGCAATAAATATATGGAAACATAAGGACGTCGCGTACACAAAGTGGTTTTTTTTTTTTTGCAAAGCGTAGTTCGCTATAAAAACGACACGAGTAGCAGCGTTGCATTCCACACGTGAGACTTAATTTTCGAGTCGATTGCAAAACAATGGTGTGTCCGCTCGCGCGAGCATACACATACGCGCGCGCGTTTCGCGAGCTTCACCCACGCTCGCGACAGCCGAGATGGGAGAAAAAGGCGAGAGTGAGAGTGAAAAGAAAGAGAAACAGCCGTGGTCGATTAAGGCGACTGGATTGGACGGCGCGCGCGGGGGAGGGAGAGCCCATTAGTTTCGATAGAACAACCTCGCGATTGCTCGCGATCGCGTTTTCTCGGCTGCAGACGCGTCGAATGAGCATCTCTCGCGCCCGCGATCCTCATACGCGCGCACTCTCCCGATCGTGGAAGAAGAGAGATATCGACAATATTGCCACGCTGATCGAGAAAAAATAAAATAAAATAATGTATACATTTGAACGACAGGCTCGTTGTTAGAGGCCACTTCGTTCCGCCTGTAAATCCTCACGGACTCGCTTTCGTTTCTTATTATTATTACTCTCCAACATAAATTGGTCTAATTTAAAATTTAATTGTTGCCTCACGATAAAAATAAATGTCTGCGTCTGAGTAATGGCGTTTATATTTCAGAAAACAATACCGCGTTTTGTCGTTGTTTTTCCATCATTCGCCGTTATTTCTCGTTATTGAAACATGTGCAAAAATTAAAGGAAAAAAAGTACGTAACGAGACAGATGTGACGTTCTTGTTACTCTTGCGCAGGAAAAGTACAAGGAAAGCAAAACGGGTCGATCGCAAGTTGTACGTGTTAGAATTAATTAATTTGTCTCGTTTGTTTTTACGTGTAAGTAAAAACGTGTACGTGTATTTGTATGCGAGATTGGAGATCTTTTCGAGCGCAAGACACGACACCGCCGGGTCTCTCGTTACATAAAACCAAAGTTGGGCAACGCGCAAGGCTGGATACTCATTAATTGTATTGTGCACGAGCAATCGGGAAAGAGTTTCTCAACTGTTGTACGCTTCGTCTCGCAGTCGCAATTCCGGGTGTCCTTGCCTCGGTTTGAAAAGAAAACCCTCAGGAAGATTACAGCCACGCGGTTACATATGATCGCCGATGTGCGACATTTCCGCGAGAATTTTTTTCGCGGGAGAATCGCGTTTCGCTATACTGCTGCTTCCAAACGGCATAGAAACGAAAGCAGATACCGAAGCAGATACTTGAAATTCTGTTCGTTCCTTGATCCTCGACTGGATATATTTATTATCTTCTCTCGCGTTATTTCTATGCGGCTCTTGCACGGAAAATGTAGGCCCACATCGCTTGCCACATAATTTATACGCGACTGCCGGCATTAGCATTACGTGCACACTTCTCCATGCTGAGTTGACATTATATGATTATTCGGCAAAGAGATTTTGTTGCTTTAAACGCTCAATTTTGCTTTGTTAAAAAAAGAAAGATAAATTTTATCCTCATTAATTTTATTCTCGAATCGACGATTGCTCTTAAAAATCAAACTGTCGGCGTGATCTGTAGATCCGCGAAACTCGAGTCGCTGCAGGAACAGCAGCAGCAGCAACGGCAGCAACAGCAGTTTCGAGATCAGCAGCAACAGCAGCAGCAACAACGACCGATCCAGAGGCAGCCGATCACGGTTACAACTGCGTCGCCGCCGGTCTCGCAGATTACCGAGAGGCAACTGAGGCAACGCCAGCACTCGAGGACGAATTACCATGACGACGAATACGGTCCCGCCTCGGAGATCGAAAACGATCGGCAGCAACGGGTGTACCGGGGACAACCTTCGACGATCGGCCAAGTGCAGCGAGACCGCGACGGTCTGCGACGGAATATAATATCGGTGAGTCGCGGCACCATCGTCGTAATTTACTAATTAGCATTCCTTGAGATGGCCCAATTAATTCTTAGACGGTAGTCTATAGAATTAATTCACTATTTAAATAATGTTCAAAAATACATTCAACAAATATCTTCTTCTTGAAAAGAGCATTATGTTTTCTAATTGCGCGGAATGTAGCTCGAAATAATAATTAATGGTTGTGAACGATTAAACGAGTAGCTGGCTAAATGGTTTTATTAATAACAAAACGTGCATAATGCCATTCAGTGCATACAGTTCGTCGTTCAATCGCATAAAACGATTACAGGGATATTGACGGGTTCTTTTTTTTCTTTTTTAGAGAAAACGTAAATAGAAAGTTTGCATTGAATGTAGGCTCAATAGGTGACGGACACGTTCGTTTAATGTCGAAGTGAATTTGATCAATTAGCAATGAATACGGCAATTCAAGGATACAGCTTGACCATTGAGTTTACGTTGTCGCGTGTGTTCTAGGAGCGGGAGAAGGATAGCCTGGTAAGCGCACGCGCCCAAGCCGAGTCTCATTACAGGTTGGTAACAAATTGTTTACAAATCACTCTTGAGAAAAAGAAAACGCACGCGCCGTTTTTCGTCGCGATGAAGTAAGAATTTTTAATTTGGCCATGATTTCTCTCGACAAAATACCTCGAAATAGCCCGCGCTAATGCAGCGATCGCGGCCATCTCTCCGATGATATCTTTCTCTTAATTGAAATTTTACGTAATAAAATGTATGATACTCTAATACGCGTGCGCTACACATTTCATTTCGCGAGAGCACCGTAATCGAAAGCAGAGTTCTGTTACGTTACCCTTTTGCTACGCTAATTTGTTTCCACACGCTTTAGAACGCCTGTTCCAACGACTGAGTCGCCGAGGCTTGCTAAAACACTGGCCTCGACCGTGGCACCGGTATTGTCCAAGGCTTACTACAGTGATCCAGATCAGAGCTATCCGTACTACACGATTTATGACGATGACGTTTCTATTTATAAAGACGACGGTAGGCAATCTTCTTGCTTTAAAAAATGTATAGACCTCAAATAATGCCTAAAAAAACTTTATATTGTACTGTCCCTTGTATTGTTCCGAAGTAGTTGTTATTTCAAGGTCTGCTATGTTTTACTATTAAACAAAATGCAAAAAATGCAAATGAATAAGTTTGAAAAATTGAGATATTTTGAACGACATTAATCTTAAATCTTTTATCTTCATTTTAGTCTGCATTTCATTTTTTTTCAGTCGTTTTTTATTTTTATAAAAGAAAGTTATTAAATACGTCATATGGAACCGAGATAATGTTAGAAGATAGAGATAAATGGAGTTTATTTCAATTTTCTGCAAACACCTTAACGGCGATATTTTCAATGAAGATTTTACATCATTTTACGTAGATTACAATCAATATACCATCAATCAGTCGGTGCCGGTGCAGCAGCCAAACGTGAAAATTAGCGAAGTGAACACGAAGCAGTACCAGAAGCCGAAGAAGGTTGCCGTGAACGAGGCGGACAAGTACAATTTGAATCACGACTACGATATCTACGAGAATCAGGTATGAATACGTGTTACACGCAACTACAAAAATTGAACAAGATTTGTTGAAATTGTTTTATTCCTGCTGAAAAGAATGTTTCGCATGCATCTAAAAATGATTTCTTTTTTTTCATATTTCAGGCTCAGCTGAACAAGAACAAGTTCCGCATTTCTGACGGTCAACAGTTCAGGTAAGAAATTCGCTTCTTCAGTAATTACATAATGATATCGCACGCATTTAGAATGATGAACTTTACTGCAGCTTGAAAGATTCAGCGATGATTTTATTCCATAATTAATATTTACAATATGTAATAATATGTTAAGTATAGTAACTACCGTTAAACTTTATTATTGGAAAATTATCGCATTACGTTTCTCTGCAAGACTAAAAGAATCCCGACTAAATTGAATCCTGTATAGTTTTTTACGACACAACAATATAAGTGCTTAGTAATGTATGAATTGTCCTCTCGACAACTCGCTGTTATTTTAAGAAATTATTTCCCTCGCGTCTACCGCTAATGGATGCACCTCTCTCTCTGTCACGCGATTTATCATCTAAAAGTGTCGATGTTCACCCGACCGCGCGAGATTGTTGCGTCTAATCACCGTTTAAAAATAGTCGCCGTATGCGAGAGCATCAAGTTGATTCAAGACCCGTCTTGCCGGTTTTTATTCGAGTATCGGAACGGATTTGTACTGAAAGGGCGCGCTCAAAGCAATGGAAATCCGCGAGATTACGCGACGTCGCGATTTCCATTAATTCATTCGCGAAATGCAGGACGAACGTGCTTAGCCATCCCGTGGTCCACGTGACGACGCCGAATGTCATCGTGGACACCTTCATACCGCTGACCACGAGCACGCAGACTCCCAGCACGACCAGCAGACCATACACCGTCAATGCACCGAGGTATAGCGCTTACTTTGACTCAATTAACTCTTTTTTCACAACATGCTTTAAATAGCGTAAAATATGTTCAAATTTATTACGTCTTTGTCTGTGACGCGTAAGGACGAACGAAATTTCGGAGAGCTCGTAAAAATTATCCCGACCTTCAATATAAAATCATAAAAGCAGTTTTTTTTTCTAAAACTCCAAAAAAATATTCTGCTTGTAATTTGGGAATTCTTCTTAAAATTTTCTTTATGAAAAATCTTACAACATATTTCTCTATAAACGCATTTAGCTATAAAAAAGTGGACGCATTGTGTCTCTAAAAGTGAACTATCAAGACTTATACGATATTCTTCTACATTTTTTCTTGAGTTTTTTCTTGAGGTCGAATATTAGAGGAAAATAGAAATCAAGAGGGTACTTTTAAAGGATAGAATATTTTTTTTTTAGTGTATTCGAACTAAATTTATCCATGTTGCATACGTTCTACGAAGCCTCGTGTCAACTCTTTGTCGTGCGTTCCGAATAACGTCTCGGAATTATATCATTTCAAGGACGCCAGTTACGTTACGGATTTAAATGTCTCCGTCGGGTCAGAGCACGACGAACGATTTTCTTTAATCGTCGTGCCCGGACTAATGCGCATGGTGCGAGGCACGAAAAGGACGGCCCTGTGCCGATTTCCGTCGGCCGAGACCCGATTTCGCCGGGCTCTCGGCAAAACGAAGTCCCTCGCTTTCTCCGCGACGCAGTAAACGAGCATTTTCCTTATTCACCGCCGCCGCCGGAAATCCTCGGATCTTATCTTGCGCTCCAATTTTCCTCCTCTCTTCTTCTTCTCTCTTTTTCTTTTTCCAGCCGAGGTCGGCCGCAGCAGATCCACCGGGGCACTGCACCGCCGTAAGTTCATTGTCAATTCACTTTCTTCTTCAACGAGGCATGATTTCAGCTGACGTACAACTCGTGCCACTCCATAAATCCGCGAGCGTTTCATGATGACACGCAGCACACTCGCGACTGACTCACTTTCAATCGGTTTCTTACAAGCACGCGGAACAGATATATATTAGCCGACGATTTCTTTTTAAGCGCCGTTTAATCCCTTCAAGTCCAATTAATCGCTTTCCAGACGATCTCGACCCACCTTGAAGCCGTCCACCGAGATAGTTTCCAAGGCGCAGGAGTTCATTGACATCTACAGGTATCCTCCGGTGCGACCGGCGCCGATCTATCCGACGCCGCAGGTAGACAAACCGGCGGCGAAGTGTCGCAGGGATGTCTGTTTGCTTCCGGACTGCAGCTGCGGCGGTGCCGATATACCAGGTAAAATTTAGCGACGCGGCGATAATCAGCCTTGCCGTGAAAATCGCGCGCGTGTGTAGTTCGTTAAACCTTCTTCGTTGGGTACATCGGTCCGACCTTGATGATTGTAATTTGCGAGATATCTTTACGTCTAGGAAAATAAACGCAAAATCACGTGATTTAAAGTCGCGGTTAAAGTATAGTAACTGTGAAATTTGCAAATATCCCCAAATCGGATCCGGATGTCACGAACGGCTTAAATTCTCGTTTTCGAAACGATCAGGTTGTTGATCATCCCGATTACTTAAGTAGACCGGAAATAACGTTCCGCGAGCTAGAGAAACACGAGACGGAAAAGTTTGTATTCCGCGTACCGGAAGTCTGGGCGCTTGCCGGCTGAATGTAAATGAGGAAGTGGGACGTCTGTCTTGGAAAGCAGATCTCATTCGAAGGTCGCCGAATTCCGTCGTCTTCCGCCGATGAAAGAAGGAAGCTCGATCGGAGGGGGCGAGGATGTGTGGATGGCGCACATTCGATCGTGGGCGAAATGTCAGGCGGCAAAAATCCGCGGGGTTACGCAAGCGCGGTCGCGCGCCGCGAATGTTAAGTTTGACGAACGGTCTTTAGACGTGGACGGCCTCGCCGTGACTTTCTCCGATTCTCTAATGTTACATACATACCGACCGTTACATAGCATGCTCGAAAGTGAAACAGATCTATACGCCCGATATACGGCTCGCGGTGTGCGTCGCCCTTCGAAATCGAAAGCAATTTGCATTACCAGAAATATATGCCGGGCGCATTTCGTCAGATGGTCAATCGACGCGTAATACGACCGATTACTACTTTATTTTGCACGGAGCAAAAATGCGGCCGTAAAATTTCGATATCGTTACGTGCGCGGAGATCATTCGGCCTGTCGCCTTACTTTCGCCCGACGAGATAAACTTCTGGGGAACACGTTTTCTTGCATAGCGAGACTCGAGAATAAAAGGGGGCGAGCGTTACGATCGCTGACTGGAATCTTTAATTCGGATTTCTTCGAAATTTTTAATGCCTAGAGAGAACAACTCCTCAGAATCGTGGGGATTTACGAAGTTCTCGCAAGCGAATTATTGCTTGAGAAAGACTGTTAACTAATTCAACTTTCGTGCCAAGTAATATTACTTTTGCCCACGATCAAGATTGCGACTCGCAGGCGCTGTTAATTTTCTGTTAAATAATGCATTTGAAATTAGTAACGAAAGGATATTGAAATACTGACAAGATTACGTATTAGCAAATGCTTGTCATTTCCTGTATAAAACAATTGTTTCAATTTGTAGTACGTCGTTAATCTGTAGAAATCGACAGTGTTGTGTTTTCTATATTTAGAAGAGATGTTGTTGCGTTAAGGCATTAGAGAAATATTATTTCTTGATTTCGCTGAGGAATGACACAGCTTCGGTGATCATATCGCGAGCTACATAATGCAACTGTGACGCACAGGTGGTATTCCGATCGAGCAGACGCCGCAGATCGTTCTGCTCACTTTCGACGACGCCGTAAACGACCTTAACAAACCCTTGTACAGCGAGCTGTTCGAAAACGGCCGTAAGAATCCGAATGGCTGCCCGATCGCGGCCACTTTTTACATCTCGCACGAATGGACGGACTATAGCCAGGTGCAAAATCTCTATGCAGACGGCCACGAAATGGCGTCTCACACGGTCTCGTAAGTCGATGAAAAAAAAAAAAAAATCGCATGAAAGCGAGCGCAGTTTCATTAACACCGGGGGAATATCGCATACACCATCGCGCTATCTTAACCAAACCAAAGAAACGAAGCTGCGGCATCGAACGTCATTATCGTCTGCCTTCTCCATTGGCCACGTGTGCCTGCGATTAATGTACTGATTTCTACTTGTCGTCCACTCGACCGTCTTCCTGGAGTATGCTTCGAGCGGACGTTGAATCGGGGAAAGGATTTGTCCGCGAAGGATCCTCTGATTCGGTACAGTTGAATTGTTCGCGCTCCGCCGATTTCACGGGAGATTTAATCCTCGAGAACACATCAATTTCTCGAGATTTAGTATAGAGATACTTGAGAAATTTCTCCTGGTGGCCCTCGAATTTTTAGATTCTGAAATCCGGCAGCTCTTCAGCTGTGTTTAGTACTTAACTACCGTTAGAGGGAAATAAGTGATTTTCGGTCCTTCGAGTGATCGATTCAATGAATCTTTGTGTCCGCGAGTGCTTTTAGATCCTTAATTTCTTGGCCGTAAATTACTCGCGAGCTTCTGCCTGCTATTTTAAGAACGCTCGGTGCACCTTCGAAAGCGGCATCGTGCAATTAGAGGATTCTTCGTGGGGGACGATGAAAACGCATATTGCTGCGCACGTACGACCAGTGAAACCGCAAGTGTACCTTCATCAAATAGGAGATCGGCGATCTCTCGGACGAGGGATCGCCGGGTCCGATAGTAACATGCCGTAAAACCGCGGTTTCACCGGGCGGGTACGACACATCTCTGTCGTGTATACTAATGACGCGTACACTAACGCCTTCTCTTGTGTTCTTTCTCTCTCGCTCTCTCTATCTCTCTTTCACGCCTCGCCATGCTCCTCATTCCCATCACGCGCCACTTTAACCGACACATCATCACACATATGTCAATAAAAAAAACACTCAAAAAAACCTATCACATCATGCACTCTCACGTGCAAAAAACACGTCCGCGACACACATTTCAACACGATCTCGAACGCGCGTTCCGATTCTCTCTCGTGTCCTCTCTCCCCC